AAATGACCGAGATTAAAATATTTTAATCTTAAAACAACACAATTACTCAAATATCTTCAAAAATCCGGGAAAACACAGAACAGTAAATGCAAAACATACACCAAGATCCACTACGATAAAGGTCTGGAAACAAAACTCAAACCATGTCTAATAACGGAGGAGATGACAAGTTCCAAACAGAGGTTTTTTAAGGGTTCCTAGCGGTGGACCTGGTGGTGTGATAGCCTAAGGTTTACTCGTCTTCCTCTTCATCACCGTCACCGCCAGCAGCCTTCTTGGCAGCTGCTCTCTGGTTCTTTCTCTTCACTCTTCCAGGGCGGCCACCTCCGAATGGACTTGTGAGAGAGAAGTCAATATGTTTTTGGGAGTCAACCCTCACCATGAATGATGGGATGTTGACCACCTGCCTCCCAACCCTATCAAGGAAAGAACAAACATCAGGACACAACATTTGGAGCATCTATAATTATCTTTCAGACAACCAAAGCATGTACGTACAAACATATTCAAGTAGGCTACATTTATGAAACTGCTCAAACAAGAAATCACGTACAGAAATATGCAAAGTACAAGGCAACAAATCACAACAACTTGCAAAAGAGAAGCCAAATTGGCAGATCAGCAATCAGCCCAGGGATTTGTCAGAAAACTAGTTGCAGAAGTCAATCACTCAAATTCTTCAAAAGAAAGAATGTTTTTTAAGTTCATATCATGAAAACATGTAGCTTCTCTAAACCACAGTGGTGTTTGAGCCAATTAATGAAACTCATAAAATGTGAAAAATCCTTTCCAACAAACAGTTAAGATTACAAAAGATAGCCAGCAAACCGGAAATGAACAACAATTGAATAAAATGCCAACTATATATACAATTAAGAGATACATCATGTGCAGTAAAAGATAACTAGTGCAGCTTCTAGGATCAACTTAATATCAAAGCATCAATGAAGTAAAAATAAACACCCACCCACTCTATAGCAAGAAAAAGTAGTCTTTACCTGATATGCCTTTGCCTAATCAACACACGAGCATGGTGAATCGACTTGGCCATACCAGACTTGAACACAAGTGTTTGCAAGCGGCGCTCAAGGAAATTCTCAACAGTCAAAGCCAAGACATAATCAAGCTTGTTCTGGCTCTCATCCAAAAGTCCATACCTATTCATCCTACGAAGAAGTGCTTCACCTTCAAAAATACGACGAGGGTTCTTCTCATCAAGAGTGAGAAGATCCCTAGCTGCATTTCGGATACGGCTCAAAGCATACTGAACCCTCCATAACTCCCTCTTACATCGGAGCCCATACTCTCCTACAAGTTTCAACTCTGCGTCCAAACGTTCCTTTTCGTATGGACGCCTTGGCTTCTTAAAGGTCTTACCATCTACAACCACACATCAATTTCAGCTTTCTTTTTTTTTTTTTTTAATTTTTGAACCAAATCAAGAAAAGCACCAAAACTCATAAAGCAAAACAAGTATTTTTCTCAATTAGGATCGAAAATACCATGACACTAATCAATCAATTATACTATTTTTTCGTGCATTTGAGCTACAAAACGGAAAGCAATACTCTGCCACCCATTAACCCATAAATTCCACCGCGCCATTGCCAAGTTTCAAACTCAAGACCTCAAGCTGTAATTTTCGAACTGTTTTAAGTCAATTATATTATAATCTTTATTTACTAAATAGTGTTCCAATTAGTAAATCAACAGGTAACAAAGAGATCAAAGCCGCTAATAAGACCTAAAAATAAATCAAAATCCAAGACAAAGATAAACTCTAACATTGTAACTCATATTAAACAAAATAAACCCAACTACATTATTAACTAAAAATGAGAACAAAACTATTATAATAGCTAAACGCAAATACCCATTTGTGAGAACCCAAAAATAATTAAAAAAATGGAAAAAATGGGGAAAACAAAAAGTTTCATAAAATAATACAAACTCAGCAGAAACTACGGGTTAGTTAAAAAAAGTACAAAAATAAGAGAAGGTAAAGTGCGGAAAGAGACGATGGGGTAAGCTTACAGTTGCGATAGAAACTAACGTGAACCATAGCAGTGTCGGCTCCTCGTCAGATGCGTGAAAGAGAAAAAGGTTGGGGAAAGGGGAAGAAGCCGAACTAGTAAAGAGAAATGAGGCGAAGCGTGATCATTATATGTATGGAAACCCTAAACCCTAATGTTTCCTCTTCCTTTTTAGGGCTTTTAACGGGCTCATTTGGTGAAATATGAATTTGGGCCTTTAAGATTTGGTGTATTTTACTTTTGGGCCTTTCAGTGGTTTTTTTGTTTCAAGAGTTGGTCCTATCACTTAGTTTTTAACTTGCCTAAGAAAAAAACTCTTCTAAGGCATAATAAAAGTTACTCCTAAAGTGGATCATCAATCTCCTGCCAGTAAATTCACCAAGATTAGGGACAAATTTGTTACTATACTATGATTTAATTTTGAATATTGTCAAACTTTAATTTTTTTAATTTTATTATTATATTTTGAATTCCGTTTGATCTTAGATAAAAAAAAATAACATAATTGAATATTCCATTAATGAAAATGATAATTTTTTTTTATCAATTTTACTTTTTTTATCTAAAAATTAGCAAGATTGAGATTATAGTGATGAATTTCAATCAAATTAAAGTATAGTGATAAATTTTAATTTTAACTTATAGTTTTGTTAATCTATTATTCATAAGATTTTCAATGATTTTATATTAAAGTTAAACCATTCGACGTATTACTATTTGCTTTTAGATTAGATATTTAATATAATATCAAATTTAATTCAATTTTGTGATTTATGTTTTATATTTTATATAAATTTGTCATATAATATTTAAGTTCATACGTGATTTTAAAACAAGTTATTAGAAGCACCGTACCAAAAAAAACTTCCAAAAGAAATTTGAGATTTTGACATGGATTTCGAATTAATGGGTTTTTAGAATAACAGGTAATTGAAGAGGAGATTTGTTTGCGTTAATACGTTGTAGAATATGATCCATTGTTGACATGAAAATTGTTATAATGAACAAAGGTGGAAAGGCTTGAAATTTTTTCACCTTTTTTGTTATCAGGAAGGAGAGTGCAGGAATAGATTAGTTATTATTATTATTATTTAGCATAAAGGGGGTTTCTTGGACTTTATTCAATACTTTATTTTGTGTATAGTCCAAATATATTTATTTATATTGGGTTTAGCAAATTTATAAAAGATTACTTCTCCAATGGATTCCAACCTAAACAACAAATTTTTTGTCACTTAACTACTTGAGCCAACTATCCCTTATTTAGTGAATAGATTACTTTTTAACAAATGACAGAAGTAGGAAGCAAATGTGAACTGCTGATTCACTTTAACTTTATGGTCTTTGGCCTCTTGCTAGCCTGATTAAGGAAGCAGCATCTATCTTCTCCATTTTTGTAACTTTTTTTCCTTAAAGCAAAAGAAACGAAGATTTAAGATTTTTATTAGCTCCACCTTCACAGAAAAGCTCAAGTCTCTTGGCCAGATGATGTTGGCAAACCGAAGGTGAGGAAAGTAGAGATGCCAAAAGCGTGTAATGCAGGAAGCAAGAAATCTGCATCAGGAGGTCCATCGGGTGACATGAGTTCACTCTCTTCATTACTAGGCAATATCCATTGTAACAATTTAATGCTACATTTATAAGCAGATTATCGATACTGGGTCATAGATCAGATCTTAAGACACCACCCTGGAGCATAATTTGTAATTACCCTTTATTTAATGATAATTGGTATATTCATATTATATTTAAATGAAATTTGTATGTCATAAATTGTGTTAACATGAAAAATACAAAATATATTTTTTGATTTTTATTAATTTTATATATGATTTTTTACTAAAATTTTAACTTAGATTACTTTGATATTGTTTTAATATCATTTTCGTATAATATCATTTTTGTATTAAATTTTAAATTATTAAGTCCACTGAATATACAGTAAAAAAATTAAAAGTTATCTCCATATCAATAATGTAGAGTCAATTCTAAGATTAATAGCAGTAAGATGTCAAATTCATATTTTTCTTTCTAACGGTAAACAAAAGTTTGACCTAATTTCAGCAGTAAAATGTCTTTTGTAAACAATATACGAATTTTTTTTTTTTTTTAACTTTTAAAGAAGAGAATGTTATTACTTGTACTTAAAATCAAAACTAAAACCTCACTCCACTCTTATCAATATTTGATATGTCTACCAACTAAACATATGAATCTTTATCGTCAATACAAATTGGTAATTGAAGTAAAGGATTTACCATGATTATGTTCAAATAAGATGCCATGAACTAATTATTTTTTTTAAAAGAAAATAAAAAGGATAGAGTCATAGAGAAGAAGAAAAATACAAGGTAGTTTTGTAACTAAAAATAGTCAAGTAGCAACCAAAAACAAGACTGACCCCTGGACTAGACACAAGGGAGAGCACCAAGAATCAACAGCAATAGCTCAATCCTCAGAAATCCTATAGCTATTAGCTTCTTCAGGGAATCATGATTCCTGATAGCATTCACAGCTCTCTGCAAATCACAGTGTTGAGGTGAAGGGTCAGTTTCATTAGGAATTCAGTCATTCACGAAGCATCTAATTCTAGGTGGAGTATTTTTTTTATATAAAAAAGATTAACTTAAAATGAACATGAGATCATTCCAAGGTTAAATTTCGTTGAGAATTTATGTTGTATTTTCAGATTATCCACCGATAAAAAGTACTTATAAAAAAGGCCGAAATTAAATTTTATAAAATAAAATATTAGATTTTTACTAATTCAATCAATTTTATTAATCTCATTTTTTTAATATTAAATCAATAATTATAACATATGAAATGCTTTTATTGCATAATTTATACGTAAATTGAATGTAAAACTTACCTATATTCTACTTTATATTGACAAAAAAATGTTTTCCTTATTTATCTTGATTTTAAAAGGAAACTTTAAAATATGAAAAGTATGATTCTTAAAAAATTTAGTAAGTAACTACTAAAGTTTCCTTGTAAGTTATTTCTTTCCAATTTTCTGGGCAAAGAGAAGCAATTAAGCAAAGGTAATTTAAGAACTCTGAAAAAAGGAAATAAGAAAACTGAAAATTCTCAAATAGAGAAAAGAAATGAAAACCCAAGTAAGCTAAAGAAACAATTCAGAACTCTTTCTCTTCTTTTATCCTTCAAAAACCTTCAAATTCCCTTCATCAAACCTTTCAATTCAAAAAACCAAATCCCATTTTTAATTACCTCTTATCTCAAAAACCCAGTAATTCTATTCCCCCCAAAAGCCCACTTTTGCATGCTTTTTTTAGCTCATTTCCCGGGTAAAAATCTAAACTTTCATAGCTAATTCCGGTTTGAAAGGTTAATCGAGTCAGACTCGAAGTGGGTTTTTGATTTTGAAGCTTGATTTTTTAGTTTTTGAAAAAAAATTGAAATAAGGAAAATGAGTGCTCAGAAGAAAAAAGCGTTTCAAATAGAAGCGTTTAAGCATAGGGTGGTTTTTGATCCAAACTATGCGGAGAAGACGTGGAAGGTTCTGGAACATGCGATTCGTGAAATTTATAATCATAATGCGAGTGGACTTAGCTTTGAAGAGCTTTACAGGTTATTGTTTTTTCTTTCTTTTTTTTTTTTTTGAGAAATTTTGATGTGATTTTGATTTAATTATGTGTTTTTTGGTTAAAGTATTTTGGTTGTGAGGTGAAATTTTGCTGAATTTTAGTTAATTTTTGTGGTGATTATATCTTTGAATAATTGAACTTAGCACTAATGAGGAAGAAGGTGAGTTGAGTAATTCACATATTAGGCTATGATGAGTTGCCAAGACACTGAATTTGTTAAGATGTTTAGTCCATTGTGTTTTGAGAATTATGGCTCTAGAGCTGTGGGTTACAATTGAATTCCAAATATGCAGTAAGCGGTTTGTGGGGCACAAATTACAGTGACGATGTATAGGCGGTAAACTGACAGTTAGGTTCTGGTTTTTAAGTTGGTGTTACCTTCTTGGAAAACGAAATTTGATTGGTGAGGAAAGGGTTGCTGGTAATGGTGTTGTAAGAGTTATACAGCCAGAAGCTGAAGGCTGATGACCCTAGGAAACCGACCTTGATTTTGAGAGCAGACTATGTTGTTGTAAGGATGGCCAACTAACTTGCTGATACAGATGCTACATCTGGTTCTTCAGAAAAGGCCACATAAATAAATAGGTCACATCTTTTTTCCTCTCTTCCATCACCTTTGCAGCCACATGGGTCTCTCTTGTTTTGCATTTTCCAGTATGCTACTTCCTACTTGGGCAGCTTTTGGAGTTTTTGAGCTCCTTTGTTTATGAATATACTTCGTATAAGAGAGAGGCCTTGTAAGAATTGGTGCTATTCTTTTTCTTATGTTCACAAATATAATTTTTGGATATTTGATTCCTTGAAACTGTCATCTGTTATATTACTTTTAATAATTCGTGTAAAAGTTCTGATATAGGTGTAGTTTCTAGCTATATATATGATGTACTTCATAAGTTTACTTCATCGTCATGTAGTTGAAACGAATGCTGTTATGATGATTGACTATATCATTTGTCTAATGTTATGTGATGAAGTGTTTTAATATTGTTGCAATTGCTGCCTGTTTTTAATTGCCTTGTAGCCTGCCATATAACTTTGTCTCTAACATCTGAAAATTTCATGATTCTGACATCTAAGTATTGTTGTAAAATCAGGAATGCTTACAATATGGTTCTGCAAAAATTTGGGGAGAAGCTGTACTCTGGAGTTGTCACAACTATGACTTCTCATCTAAAGGAGATATGTAGTTCAATTGAGGCTGCTCAGGGAGGATTATTTCTGGAAGAACTCAACAAAAAATGGGCAGAGCATAACAAGGCATTGCAAATGATTCGAGATATATTGATGTACATGGATAGGACTTTCATCCCAAACACCCATAAAACCCCAGTTCATGAGCTTGGGTTAAATTTATGGAGGGATGTTGTCATCCATTCCTACAAAATCCAGTCCAGGCTTAAGGATACACTTCTTGAAAATGTTAGGAGAGAGAGGAGTGGTGAAGTCATAGACAGGGGTTTAATGAGAAGTATCACAAAGATGCTAATGGATCTAGGTCCTTCTGTATACCAGGATGATTTTGAGAAGCATTTTCTTGAGGCTTCAGCTGTTTTTTACCGTCTGGAGTCTCAAGAATTCATAGAGTCTTGTGATTTTGGGGAGTACTTAAAGAAAGCTGAGAGACGTCTTAATGAAGAAATAGAGAGAGTTTCTCATTACTTGGATGTGAGAAGTGAAGTCAAAATAACGAATGTGGTAGAAAAGGAGATGATTGAAAGTCATATGCACAGGCTTGTGCAAATGGAGAATTCAAGCTTGGTTAATATGATTGTTGATGACAAACATGAGGACCTAGGAAGGATGTATTGCTTGTTTCGCCGAGTACCCAATGGGCTTGTTTTAATCAGAGATGTTATGACTTCATACATTCGTGAAACTGGTAAGCAGCTAGTTACTGATCCAGAAAGGCTAAAGGATCCTGTGGATTTTGTGCAACTTCTGTTGGATTTAAAGGATAAACATGACAGAATTATTTCTTCAGCATTTAGCAATGACAAGACTTTTCAAAATGCATTAAATTCCACTTTTGAATATTTTATCAATCTGAATTCTCGGTCTCCAGAATTCATCTCTTTGTTTGTAGATGACAAGCTTCGAAAAGGTTTGAGGGGGGTTACTGAAGAGGATGTGGAGTTGGTACTTGACAAGGTGATGATGCTCTTCCGTTACCTTCAAGAAAAAGATATTTTTGAAAAGTATTACAAGCAACACTTGGCCAAAAGACTTCTTTCAGGGAAGACTGTCTCTGATGATGCAGAAAGAAGTTTGATTGTTAAGCTCAAAACTGAGTGTGGGAATCAATTTACTTCAAAATTGGAGGGTATGTTCACAGACATGAAGACATCACAGGATACAATGCAAGGTTTCCATGCATGTCATGGTTCAGATATAGGAGATGGCCCCACGCTTTCTGTCCAAGTCCTTACTACTGGATCTTGGCCAACTCAACCCATTACTACATGCAACCTTCCTGTTGAAATTCTTGGCATATGTGAGAAGTTCCGTAATTATTACCTTGGAACCCATACTGGACGGAGATTGTCCTGGCAAACAAACATGGGCACAGCTGATTTGAAGGCAACCTTTGGTAAGGGTCAGAAGCATGAACTGAATGTTTCCACATACCAGATGTGTGTCCTTATGCTCTTCAATAGTGCTGATCGACTAAGCTATAAGGAGACCGAGCAGGCCACAGCGATACCAGCCTCAGATTTGAAGAGGTGCTTGCAGTCTCTTGCCTGTGTTAAGGGAAAAAATGTGCTGCAGAAGGAACCTATGAGCAAGGACATTGCTGACACTGATACCTTTCTTTTCAATGACAAGTTTACAAGCAAATTCTTCAAGGTCAAGATAGGCACTGTGGTTGCTCAAAGGGAGTCTGAACCTGAAAATCAAGAAACTAGGCAGAGAGTGGAGGACGATAGGAAACCACAGATTGAGGCAGCAATAGTGAGGATCATGAAAGCTAGGCGTGTGCTGGATCATAATAACATAGTTGCCGAGGTCACAAAACAACTACAGTCACGATTTCTGCCCCACCCTGTTGTAGTTAAAAGGCGAATAGAGTCCCTTATTGAGCGGGAGTTTTTAGAGAGGGATAAAGGTGACAGGAAATTGTATCGCTACCTTGCTTAAAAAGAATGTGTGATTGTCTTCTCTTGTCAGGGTTTTTGTAACCTTCTATTTGTCTTGCTTTGATATCAGGCCTGCTTGCCTAGGTCCGTGTAAATCTTGCCTACATTTTATAAGTTGACAAGTTGTTTCTTGAATTATAGATAGTTCAGGTGAATTCTTGATGTATGTTTTGGTTAAATTTTGTGTTGCATTAATTCATAACATGCTTATCTTGATTACCCTTTGAGTCCAGGTTACTTAAGTGGCAAGGGATGTTTATGGTGGTGGAATCCTGATTCTGCTTTTTATGGCTCAACATAGAAACGAATCAGCCAAGATATCTCTAATTAAATCAGCAAAAAACCTCGGTTATCCAAGGGACAGATTGTGATGGATGTTAACGATTATTCTCTTCTTCTTTCTTTTTCCTTATATTTTTCTGCAGGAACTGGTACTGTAAATATTTTTTGGGCTTATGATGATGGCAGTATACTCCATGAAAGTAACCTTTTCTTTTGGGTTATTTTTTGTCGATTCAAACTTCTCATGACATTATAAATAATTCCCAACTTTTTGGATTGTAAAATGTGGATATAAAATGTAGACACAGGGCATTATGATCTATTGTCGAAGGATAGGGGAATCTAAATGCTGAGAATAATATGAAATAACTTGGAATATCCTCTAATTAGATGATGTCATGTCCATTTTTGAAATATTTAATTACCTAAAAAACACATTTATATTCAAATTACCAAAAAAATCCTTAATTTTCATTCACACATTATTACAATAGAGCCTTCTGTTTTATTACTATTGGATACCAATGGCAATGGCATGTTTGGCTAATAAGTCCGTGAGTTATTAGGATGCAACCTTTATAAATTTTATTAAGATTAATTTAAATTTTTTATTAATTTTAATCAATAAATAAAAATTAAGAGGGAAATTCAATAAGTATTTTATATTAATCAATCAATTAAGTTATAGCGACAAAAAAAAAGTCTCATTCAAAATTTTTAATTTGGCATTTGGCTGAGATGGATTTTATTTTATTTTTTGTTTTATTTCCTTTTTCATCAACATTGGTTTGTTGATAGAAGAAAGGTCAGTTGACGACAATCATCAGTTGACAACCATCCTTTCTTGATAGTCAATGCCAGATTAATTTTTTTAAACAGATATCTATAAGATACGATATAATAAATTATAATATTTATCTCTATTTATATCGTCGTAATTTTCATTTGACATTGATAAGATGGATTTAACTTTTTTTTTTATTTGCTTTTTCATCAATATTGATTTGTCGACGACCAAAAAATAAATCAATCATTGTATGACACGTTTGTGTCAGATTAATTTTTTTTAAAATAATTATAAGATATAATAAATTATGTAAAAAATTGAATCATAAGAAATACGCAAAGATTCATTTCTCTAATTAGAGAATGTTACAATTTTATTTTTAATATTTTTATTTTGGTATTGATCTCTTTTTCTCTATTTATAAATTGACTCATGTCAGTGAAATAGTTGCAATTAGATCAACTCAGGATTTTGTAAGTTTTGTAGAAAAGACAGTTGATGGATCTCCCAATGGCTGGTAGGAAATTTACTTGGTATGGAAGAGGCAGCACAACCCCTATGAGTAGGCTTGACAGATTTCTTATCTCCCCAAATTGGATGATAGCCTAACCTAACTTGAATCATTGGAGGTTGGATGCAACTTTGTCAGATCATGTAGCAATTTAGGAATGGAGGAGGCTGATTGGGGCCCTAAACCTTTCAAGATCTTTAATCACTGGCTTGAGAGCGGGGAGTTCAATGTTATGGTTGAAGAAAAATGGAGAAGCTATGAAGTATATGGTTTTTCAGGACATCGTCTTCACCAAAAGCTGAAAAAACTGAAGCAAGACATTAGGAGTTGGAATGGTTATGTCAAAGGAGGAGTGGCGGTTTCAATTGAAGCTTTAGATAAGGACATAGCTCAATTGAAAAAGAAACATGAAGCAGAACCTTTGAATTCAGACATGGGATTCTTGATTAATGATAGAACAAAGGAGATGTGGTATCTACCATCCATTAAAGAAAAATCTTGGAGGCAGAAGTCACGGATGAAATGGATTCAAGAGGGAGATGGGAACACCAAGTTCTTCCATTGCTTGGCAAATAGCACACGGAGAAGCAATTTTCTATGTCACCTACGTTTTAATGGGAAGCTACTTACCAGCCCGAAGGAAATAAAGAGTGCAGTTGAAATTGAAATCCATTTCAAGGCGCATTTAAGAAAAGAAAGAAGGGACCGTCAATGAAAATTTCGAGCTGGAAGATAAAATCACTATCATCCTCACAAGTTCAATTTCTTGAAAACCCTTTCTCTGAAGAGGAAGTTCTGGCTGCTATAATGGACTGTGATGGGGATAAATCTCCTGGACCGGACAGTTTCAATCTCAATTTCTCAGAAAGAAATGGAGCATTCTGAAAGAGGAGATTATGGAGTTTTAGGGGATTTCCACAGAACAGGTAAGATCACAAAAGAAATCAATAGCTCGTTCATAACGTTGGTTGCTAGGAAGCAGTGTTCATAGTCTTTAAATGATTTCGGGCTCATCTTTCTCATTGGCAACTTATACAAGATTCTTGCAAAGACCCTGGCCAGTAGACTGAAGAAAGTATTGGGCTCCATTATTCACAATACACGAAGGTAGGTAAATCACGGAAAGCATCTTAGTTGCTAATGAGGTTATAGGTTGTGTAAGGAAATCTAAAAAGGGCAGGCTGGTATTCAAAGTTGATTTTGAAAAAGCTTTTGACTCTATTGATTGGGAATATCTTCTATGATTATGAAATTCATGGGCTTTGGAAAGAAATGGTTGGAGTGGATATAGGGCTGTATATCGACAGCTTCAGTGTCTGTTCTGGTTAATGGTTCTCCTACCAACCTGATCATGCTACAGAGGGGTCTTCGTCAGGGGGATCCCGTCTCTCCGTTCTTATTCATCATTGCCGCAGAAGGTCTGAACATGTTGCTCAGTAAGGCAGTGTCTTTGGATCTTATAAAAGGAGTCAAGATAGGGCAGCGCAATCTTCATGTTTCACACCTCCAGTTCGCTGATGATACTATTATCTTCTGTGAAGCTGAAGTTGAGCAGCTAGCAATGATCAAAAGAACTCTTAGGTATTTCCAAATCTGCTCGGGTTTAAAAGTCAATTTCAGCAAAAGCGTGTTGTATGGAATCAATGTTGAGTTTCAAGATTTACTTCATTGGGCTGGGAGAATTCATTGTAAAGTTGATAACCTTCCCCTAAGATATCTTGGCCTTTCTTTGGGAGCCAATCCGATGAGAAGTTCAACTTGGCAGCCGATTATTGAAAAATTTAAGTCCAAGCTTAATTTTTGGAAGAGTAAGTTATTGAGTATGGGGGGAAGATTAGCTTTGACCAAATTTGCTTTAAGCAATTTAGCAGTGTTCTATATGTTAGTTTTCAAAGCCCCGCGTGGGATGATCACTGAATTGGAGAAAATTAAACGCCAGTTTTTATGGGAAGATTCAGATGATAAACACAAGCTTCGATTTGTTGATTGGGGAACTATATGTAGAAGAAAGAAATATGGCGGTTTAGGCGTCCCAAATCTGTATCAATCTATCAAGCCCTTCTTCTAAAATGGCCTGGAATCTGGGTGTGAGGATAATTCCCTCTGGAGAAAGTTGATCTCTCATAAGTATAACATTCAAGATAATGTTCTTTGGCTTTCTCGCTAATTCTGGAGTGATACTCAAAATACATGGCTCATAGGTCAATTTTCTAACTTTATAAACTCTAGTTTGTTCTTTTGTTTAGGTAATGAAGATAGAATCCGTTTCTGATATAACAAGTGGATTGAAAGACACATTTTGAAAATTGAATTTCAAAAAATTTATTATCTTGCTGTCAACAAAAAAAGCCCCATTAAAGAATTTGGGAACTGGTTTGGTTCAAACTAGAGTTGAAGAATTCAGCTACGTCGAAATCTATTCAATTGGGAACAGGAATCATGGACAAAGCTAATGAACCCGTTAAGCTCTGTGGCTCTCTGCTCCGCAGTTCACAATTGTATGAAATGTAGACACTCTGTTTTGTTCAGGATTTCTTCGTTTAAATTTTTGCATTACCATGAGCTTCATCGGGCTTTGAAGGCTAAATTTAATTATTATTATTATTATTATTATTATTATTATTATTTTTAGTGTCCTTTTTGAAAAATTCCAAGAAAAGTAAAAAAATTAAAAATTAAAAAAAGAGAAAATTGAATTAAAAAAAGTCTGGAGGAAAATCCGAAGGTGATTTGAATTCTTCTGGTGATAATGTTCTTGTTGGCTTCAATCACTTTTGAGATGATAATCCCAAGGAGATTATGCCAAGCAATTTCATTCAGAAATCTTTTAAATCTAGAGTTCTTTTGGGATTAAAATGGGGATCCTTATAAAAGCAGTCCTTGCCATCAACGAAGAACATAGAAAAACCAGAGGAGAAACGGAGGGACAAGAATCAAGCACAACAAGAACAGAGGAATTCAGCAGAAGATCATTCAGCATAGAGGAAGTTTCAGGCAAAGCTTTTAACAGAGTAGGAAGAAGCATCAAGAAATTAACAAGCAGTCTTGCGAAGCATATGCAGAGTAGCACAATCGTGCAATATAGCCAACAGCAGGGCCGAATGCATTCAAAAAAACTGTTTCAGAAAACCTAAAAGCCAATTTCCAGAAACAACTATTAATCTTCATCAGCAATCACAGAAGAAACAATAACAAGAACAAGCAGCAAGAAGCAATTGTTGAGCCCAATTCCCAGAAGCGAAATCCAGCAGCTTCATACTCCAAAAACACCAAATTCCTGCAATGCCCAACACACGAGCACATCTAGAGTTTCATCAATCAAATTCAGCAAGAAGAAAACCCAAAACGCAGCAGTTCGTCACCTATCTAAGAAAAGAACAGAGCAGAAAGGCAGCATCAGCAATTAAGACACCAGTACTTCTCCAAAATTAAGCATTAACACAAGCAATTGCACACACATAGAAAAATTCAGTCTCTTCCACCGTATAAAAGTCAAGTTGTCACCAATTTTTTGCAAAAAAAATATTAAGTTCGAGAGTCGGTTACGCTAGAAAA